GTAATCGCCAATGGCGCACTTACAACCCCTATAGCGCAAAACGCCAGAGGGGTGAATGTGTGATATCTTCGGTTTTATGATCACCCACCCGCCCCCTATCATCCCTGAAAAATTTATTTGGGTAGGATTTTTTTTTTTGAAAATCGACAATTTTCCTAGACTACAGCTGGAGATTTTTTAAATAAATTGGACAACATGTTGTTTTTTTAAATTAAATTTTATTTTGACGGTTCAGTTTTATAGAAATTTTTAAACCTTTCCACATTCCACAGAAAACGATACAAGGACTGCGCGAGGTTCCCAGATTAGAGGAGGTTGGAGAGGCAATTAGACAACTGAAGAACAATAAGCCAGCTGACACTGACGGCATTCCTGCTGAATTTAAGCAACGAGGCTTAAGCCCATATCCTAATAAGTAAAATATGGATTAGGCCGGTCGTCCTTTGGATGCGTTTTCGTCCGAATTGCAAACGTCAGAAATAGGACGAATATTTTCGTCAGATTTCGCATACGTGATATCGTCCACTGGACAAGTTTTTGCAGACTTCGCACAGTCTTTGGGTAGTGGAGTAATATGGAGGATTATCTTTTGGAAAATAAACTTATTTTGTTAGACGGCGATTGTTAAAAAGAAAAAAATGATTATCAAAACGAAATAATTTGGATAGGATAATTTCATTATTTATATGATGATTTAAAGAAGGATGAATATTCTCTGCATGTCTCTCATGTGATATGATTTGACGGTCATAACCCACAAAGGTTTTTTTTCCATATCAAATTAATCAATTTTTCGATATCCATATCTCTATCTTCTCAGTAACCCAGTCAACACACACAAATCGTCAGAACTACTGCGAAAAATTCCCTTTTTTTTTTGGACCAATCGCAATCGCATTTTTTTCGTCCGAATTCGCACAAATAATTTCGAGTACAATGTACGACCGTTATTGGATTTCACTGAAATGGGATCATTCGCACCTTTTCGTCCGATTTCTGACGAATGCAATTCAGAATAGTATTTTTTTCTTATTTCTCAGAACTCTGTTGTACGAGAATCACAATGTTTGGTACACAGGAGGGGTTTCATGACATGAAGAATTGGATGGTGGTACGCTTTTAGGCGAAGGACCCTCTCCTTCAAGCCACTTTTTAGTGGTCTTCCGTGTGTTTGGAACCTTAAAACTTGCGTATTTGAATTATTCAATTAGAAGGCCTATTCAGTTCAAACTACTTTTGTCTATTGAAATTTTTTTTTCGTTGAACACATTGTTTTCGAGAAAAATGTGATCGAATGCATAATCGAGATTCGTATAAAATTGTACCTAAATATATACTTTACTGCCAGCCTCAAACGAATATACTATAGGTAACGTAATTACATACCTATATTTATTTTCATGGATGTAACAAAACAACCTTGACTTTGGTGTCTGGAATTTGTGGATCAGATGTCATTGCATATTTTGAGACACCTCAATCGAAATTTTACCCAGAAGTTTGAAGTTTCTTGATCTTGAAAATTTCCATTGAGGTGTAAGTACCAAAAAAAATGCCAGGTAATAGGAACTCCACCTCAAAGAAACGGACATTTATTACGACATAATTTAATCAACAAAATCTCATTAGACTCAACCAAAATGTTTTTGAAATATGTATTAATAAATGATTTTTCACAAAAACTTTGACACCCTGAAGAAAGCAAAAAGTTTGGAAACCTATGTTTATACAACTTCTCTATAAGGTATTTCAAAGAAAAAATACACCTACTGGTGGAGGCAAAAATATTTAACAAAATAGGAGTTGTGACAAGAATAGAAAGAAATTGCACTTACAGTGATAGAAAATCCAATATAACAATAGCCACAGTAAAATCCTAATATGGGATAATGGAATTCGACACTAGTCACATTATAAATTTTTCCCAAATGTTCAAACTCATTCATTTTCGAATTTTTTCAATAAACTCGTGTAAATAAAAGAATCAAATTAAATTAACCCGGCTTCACTGTGAATCTTTTCCGCGTTAATTGTCCACTAAAAATAAAATTTAAAAATGATGTTGGTCTTACTAATTTGGCCACCTGTTAGTGAATGATTATAATGCATACACATCAAACTAGTAGCCACGAAAATAGACTCAGGGCGATATTTATTTTTATCTAGTCAACAATGATTCTACTACACCAAAATTATTATTTGGGTTCAACTAATAAATATTACATTAACTAGTGACCTAATTTTATAATTTTAAAATATATAGATCATCCTACGCCTAGACTGTTAATTTCAAGTTGGGAGAATATTAAAAATTTTACTATGTACGTGGTTTTGAACATTATTTATGCTATATTCATGATACGGTTTATGTTAACAAAATAGGAATTTGTTTTTTTTTCGGCAGCCTTAGTTTTAATTGCTACTTAGTTACATTTTGAAAATAAACCATATTTTGCTTAATATCTGGAACATCCCCTTTCATCCCCTCAAAGGTCGTTTTTTTATTTCTCCGAAATTTACCGCTTCCGCTACATGTTACAACAAAATACCTCCATAGTAAATTAGAGAGGACTTGATGCTCTACAATTTATCCAGCGACAGCATTTGCTTATCACCTACCATTTAGCCAGGGTGGAGCTCTGAAGTTAAATGACCTTGTGAAAAGATGTTTTGGGAATTATTATTTTTTGACTGACCAGTAAAACAAATTTACCACAAACTATGCAGCAACTACTCATAAATAATTGGCCGATTTTTTGGTATAAGTTTTATTTAAAAACATTGACCTCTTTTAGATATACATGGTGTTGAAATTTAAACAACCCCCTTTCATATCATCTGAAGGGCTAATGCTAGGCTTTTCAAATTTTCAGGGATTAGTGATGTAGGAATGATATTTGAAAATTTATAAAATGCTCTCCCATTTTTTTACCTGGAACCACCACAAAAAAAATAAAATTTGAAGAAAAAAAATGCCTTTTTTTCATTTTCTCTAGTACAACCCCACTAGACGGAAGAAAAATATTAAGGGGGTGAAAAAAAAATTGTTTTTTTTTTGGCTTTTTATTTCACATAGGTCAGTAGCGCACTAAATAAGCTTTCCAAAAATATATCTACTTACTGCAATATACCTCTGGAAACAACCCCTGCCCCTTATGGAAGTTGTCGCAACCACTCTTCTGCGATTATTTCGTTACCTATGCATTGTATGGGAAGGAAATTTATACGAAATTGAAGACCACCATATGCTCTACAAATACGGTCTTGATGCATTTTTTTAATATTTGCAATCGTTACGCTACAGTGGCGTCTTAAAGTTCAGCAATTAGGAAGCAGATTCCAGTTATATTCCATTATCTCGTCACCTATACATTTCATCGCTTAAATTAATTTGCTCAATAGGCCAGAAATTTGTCAACTAATTATGCCCTATGCACTTTCTAAGTTCTTGCTACCTTTTGGCTAAAAAAACGTCACGCAAACTCAATTTTTGCTTTTTTTCGCCAGCTCATGTTATAAGGGCCTATCTAATTGATTTATTATAACAGTATTAAATATATACCAATTATATTTTATGCAATTTAATCTCTATGTTCCAACCAATAGAATACAGGAATACAGTGGCGACATCGACAGCTTGTAGTCGTTTCCACACCACCCAACGGTGGTGTGGAAACCATGTAGGTACTCTACCTCAAGACACGCGTTTTTTTTATTGTGGTGTCTCCAGTAGGCCTACTACACGTTAATGTATGTATTTTTTTCCTCTCGTCTCGTCGGTTAGGGAGGTGCTAAATCTGTGAATAGGTGAAGAGATAATGGAATAAAACTGGAATTCGCTATAAAATTTTTGAGCTTTGGGACGCCACTGTGGCGTAAAGGTAAAATAGGTTCGTATTAGGAGAAAATTAGGAACCTATTTGTAAAGCAAATGGTGATCTTCAATTTCGTATAAATTTCCTTCCCATACAATGCATATGTAACGAAATAATCGCAAAAGAGTGGTTGCGACAACTTCCATAAGGGGCAGGGGTAGTTTCCGGGGGGATGTTGCAGTAAGGAGATATATTTTGGGAAAGCTTATTTAGTGTGCTACTGACATAAGTGAAACAAAAAGCCTAAAAAAAAAAAATTTGTTTTCACCCCCTTAAACATATATTTTTTTCCGTCTAGAGAGGTTGTACTAGAAAAATGCTTTTGGTGTTTATGGATATATGTCGGAGGTGTGCACAAAATAATATTTGAACCATTGACATGGGGGGCATTGTGTGTGAGAAAATGAAAAAAAAAGGCATTTTTTTTTTCAAATTTTTATTTTTTTTTTTTGGTGGTTCCAGGTGGAAAAAAGGGGTGCATTATAAGAATTTTTCAATATGATTCCTACATCATTAATCCTCGAAAATTTGAACAGCCTAGCATTAGCCCTTCAGATGATATGAAAGGGGGTTGTTTCAATTTCAACACCCTGTATATCTTAAACGGGTAACTTTTCAAATAAAACATATACCAAAAAATCGGCCAATTATTTATGAGTATTTGCTGTATGGTTTGTGGTCGATTCGATTTACTGTTCAGTGGAGAAAAAATAATTTCCAAAACATCTTTTTTCAAGGTCATTCAACTTTAGAGCGGTACCCCAACTAGAGGGTAGGTGATAAACATATGCTGTCGCTGGATAAATTGTAGAAATTTTAGTCCTCTTTAACTTACTATGGAGGTATTTTTTTGTAAAACGTAGCGAAAGCTACCAGACCCATAATAAGCAGCCCTTGTCCTACCAGAAAAAATATAAAACAGAGCTTGTGTCGAGTTTGCGAGGTTCAACCTCTCTTTCCTGGCCTATAATGCTACGGAGAATTATTGTTTTATCATTGCGATAAAGTAGCTCTTTTTTTTTATGTTCCACCTTTGTTATATTATATCGGCTTATTAGTTACAAAAAGAAGTAGAAAATGTCCAAGCGTGCGAAAAGGAGCAAATTTCAAATATGAACCACTTACCTTCGTTCATTGCCATATCCATAAGCTGCAAGTCTTCATCATTTAGTAGATTGGATAAGAATCCATCAGTTTGATTGTTGGCGAATTCGGAACCGTTCTGGAAAAAAAAAACATAAAAGTGGATATTTGGAATATTGGATACATAAACCACCAAATTATCGGTTAGGAAATTTTCAAATGAACTTATGTATTTTGTCAGCCTCCATTGTTCAAAGTTATGCAAGTCTCGATTTAGTTTGAGGTTCATAATATGTATGTTGATTGGGAAAAATTATATTTGAGTCAACTTTTGGAAGTTTTCCTGGACAGGTGAGAACAAACCATCAGGTCCTATTGTTAAGAATGAAAGTGATTGGCACATAACACTACTCTATATGTTGGTGCACAAGATTCTATATCCTCGCTTATGGCATCAATCAAATTTCTCCAAAATCCTGGAGGGACAGGAAAAGTAAACACATTTAAATATTGTCCTCCATAATATTTTTTTGTGGTGATTTTTACAACCCGGAACACAACACAGCATATACGGCGGCATTGTTTTATCATAGGCCCGGATTACCCAATCTAGTGTTTCCTAATTTTTGTGCTCAATTTTCAGTTTGTAAAGAGATGGCGTAGCTTATTTACACAGTTTATTACGGAATTGACAGCCTGGAAACACGCAATCCGTGATTTATCTTTAAACCGGAGCTACTTTGACTCTAAGGGTTACTCTGACCCTTTTTGGGGCTTCTTTTCATCATTTCACGAATTATAGTAAACCATTTGAAAACCGTAAGCAATACAATAGTGACTTTATTACTGCAGATTATCAGAAAAATTCTAGAACCATTTCGAAACCGTGAGTGATACAAGAATACTGGTTTCGACATCTAAAAACAAGTTCACAAACGAATTTTCTGGAAAACTCTAGATATGTACTTGAATAGAATTCCACTTGAAAACCAGGAAGTGATACAAGAATAGTGACTTCATTTATTACTGGTTTCGACAGCTGAAAGGCAATTCCACAGAGTAATTTCTTTCGAACATTCCATCGTATTCTATTTGGAAATTTGACTTTTTCACAGAACTTTAGATTTAAAATCAAATTTCAAGAAAAATATAGAATATTCTATAATAAATACATTACCAGCAAACACCCGAAATGGAGCAAGTTAGTCAAATATTAGTGAACTTCATGAAAAATATGAACGACAAGAGACAAGAAAAGGGAGATTGAAGACAGAAAGACAAACAAGAAGAGGAAGACCAAAGACAAAAAGAAAAACGAGGAGAAGATCGGCGATCGAACAAAAAAAAAACCGGGAACAGAAAGATTTGGATAATACACCTGCTAATCCAGAAAGTGAATATTATCTTTCAAACAACCGCTCTACAGATTCCTACAATGAAAAAAACTGTTCACGCAGCTCAGACAAGGCGGCTGGCAGCATGGTTGTCAACAAGGCCATTTTTCTAGTTTCCGTTAGGCCAGTCCATATGGGAAGAAGAACAAAGCAGGCATGAGGGTAGACCTGAATAAACAGAAAGGTATCCTAGACAGGGCCGTCATAAGGCATGGGCCCGCTGGGCCCGGGCCCAGGGCCTCGGCGCCAAGGGGGCCTCATCGCTAAGTCCACGCCCAATTTAAAATAAAATTTATAGAAAAAAAATGGAAAAAAATATAGGCGGGTAGCGATAGAATGCAACTGGAATGTCATAATTTACTTTGACTTTGTTCAAAACCTCTATAAACGATTTCTTTTCCTCGTCAATGCACCGTTGGGAAATGAATTCAAATTTAACTTCCGATCATAAAGTACTGAAAAGCTTATGAAAAAAACACGTTAGTCTTCACGTTAAGATGCAGTTACAGCTTTAAATTGTGGATACAGAAATCCAAATGAGCCTTGATACCTTAAGAATGACAAATTGCAATCAGCAGATACACGTCTTACTGCAAAAACATTAAACAGCAAGATGGATGACTTAGAAACTACTTTCTTAACTATTTTTTGGAATGATATTTTGACTCGGACTAAAAGAGTAAATTTGTTCGTCCAAAAGGAAAACTGAAATTTGTCTACAATTGTAATAGTTATTTACCAAACAAATACGGAAAGTGATAATTTACCGCGTTTATGGGCGGTAAAGGCACTTTCCGCATGTGTTATCAAATCAAATCAAATCAAAATATGCTTTATTGTAAAAAGAGCAAAATATCTTGTCTACAAAGCAGAAAAATACAATAATAAGAAAAATACAATAAACACAATAATAAAATGTCAAAATTTAAATTCACAAACAACCGTGAGAGTAATAACAGTACAATAATAAAATAATAACTACAATATTAAAATGTCAAAAATTAAAATAACAAACAGCCGTAAGAATAGATACAATTATTATAACTAAAAACAAAAATACATATGAAAACAGAACATTAAAATGAAAGTACTTGACAAAATCAATAGCTGCAAACCTCGCTACAAACAATCATCGTAATACTCCTCCAGGCTGTAATAAGACCTTGCCATCAATACACTCTTTACCCTCTTCCTGAACCGCGAGTATGGCAATTGTCTATATTCAGTGCCCATTAGGTACAAAATTTTACCTATGAGCATCTACACATCTCCAAAAAAAGGCATTGATAAAATTAATTAATGAATCAGATTAATTAATGGAATTAGATTAGATTTAGAAATGATCAAAAATCCATTTTCTGAAAAAGAAAGGATTTTTTATTATAAATATCAAATTCCACTTTACCGCACACTATGCTGTAAAGTAAACTTTACCGCACACTATGCGGTAAAGTAACTCTACCGTGTGAGGTAAAGTTAACTTTACCGCATAGTATGCGGTAAAGTAGACTTTGGTATTTATGATTAAAAATCCTTTCTTTTTCAGAAAATGGATTTTTGATCATTTCTAAATCTTATCTAATTTCATTAATTAATTTGATTCAATAATTAATTTTATCAATAATCAATGCCTTTTTGTGGAGATGTAGATGTTCATAGGTAAAATTTTGTACCTAAACACATGCGGAAAGTGCCTTTACCGCCCTTAAAGGCTTGACCGATCAACTGCCGTTGCGTGCGGTAAAGTATCACTTTCCGCATTTGTTAGGTAAATAACTATAATAGTTATTTGTTAGGTAAATAACTATAATAGTTATTTACCTAACGAATGCGGAAAGTGATACTTTACCGCAGCGAACGACGCGAAGCGGAGTTCGGTCAAGCCCTTAAGGGCGGTAAAGGCACTTTCCGCATGTGTTAGGTACAAAATTTTACCTATGAGCATCTACATCTCCAAAAAAAGGCATTGATAAAATTATTTATTGAATCAGATTAATTAATGAAATTAAATTAGATTTAGAAATTACTTTACTGTGATTTTAACTCAATCAAGATCTACTAACTTCAATTATCATTGATGTAATTGATTGATTGATAAATCAAGCCATATCATTGAATTTCTCAAAAAAAAAACGCAATGATTTTTGGTCTCAAATTGGGTGGGAGTAAGAAATTTTCGAATGAACTTATTTTATCAGCCTCCATTGTTCTCAAAGTGTGCAAGTCTCGCTTTAGTTACTTTTATCTTCTGTCAGGATTTGTTAGTGGTTTTTTGGTACTTTGAGGTTCATATCTGTGTTGATTGGAAAGAGGGGATCCAAGAGGATTGAGAACAAAAAGAATTAGACCTGCTTGCAGCATTTTCGCAAGAACAAAGAAGACCAAACAAATAAATAAAAACCAGAAGAAGATCGAAGACAGAATAAAAAATATTTCCCTACCTGATAATACATCATATCATTGGATGATTCCATTTTGTAGTGATGAGCTGAACTAGGTTCTCCCATTGGTTCGCTGCTATTAGTAAGATTCATTGATGTGGCTACTGCGTTACTAATGGTACCACCTAAAAAAAAACAAATGAAATGACATACCTATTGCAATATACAGGGTGTTCCGAAATTATCGCAAATTTTTATGGCATATTCTTCGTCGAAAATAAGCCCTAGTTTCCTGTATACCTGTATGACAACGAAATCGTTATACAAGGCGTCATTCAGTTGTCTTTAAAGTTAAAAATTTGAAAATTGGGTGGAACGGGTAAGTCATTGAGACGCACATTTTTCATAAAAAAACTTTTGAATATCACTTCCGGTTACTCCGGAGATGGACCCAAGTCAAGAAATTCTTATGGAACCCTGTATATTTTTTTGCACAGTTGGATAGAGCTTAAAATTCCCTTTCCAATGACATATCACAACTTGCATTTGTTTCCAAGATGGCGGCGTAAGAAGGTATTTTTCCTAAATTCAATATGGCGGCATTCTGACGTAACCGATAATGTTTCTGTCAAACAAACACTTTTAACAATCCAAAATTTTTAGATTTGAAATGGTTTTAGATCGAATTTGAAAAAAAAAAAAATGATTTTGCTCAAAAACAAGGGCATTTCAAAATTTCTTTGAAATGCTAATTTTAGTTTCAAATTTTCTAAAAATTTTGAATAGGAAGAGGTACTTATTAAATTTTAGAATTAAAGTGTGTCCAATGGCCTACCGAAAAATGTCTACCAAAATGCATATTCATTTTTCGGTTAGGTATTCAAAGGTTAGGTCAGAATGCCGCCATATTGAATTTAAGAAAGTGCCTTCTCACGCCGCCATCTTGAAAGCAAATTCCACTTATCATATGTCATTGAAAAGGAAATTTTAAGCTCTATCCAACTGTGTAAAAAAATATAAAGGGTTCCATAAAAATTTCTTGACTTGGGTCCATTTCCAAAGTAACCGGAAGTGATATTCAATTGTTTTTTTATGAAAAGTGTGCATCTCAATGACTTACCCGTTCCACCCGATTTTCAAATTTTTAAATTTAAAGACAACTGAATGACGCCTTTGTATAACGATTTCGTTGTCACCCGGTATACAGGGTGTATGTTTTACGTGATACCACTATTGCTAACGGTAAGAGCTACAAGAGCTGCTTTCCAGTATGCACATTGGCGCGCTCTAGAGCACCTCGGGGGCGCCACGCACTAGATTTGTACCGTTCCAGTATCATGGCGTGCGACGCCTGACTTAGTGTCAAATATGTCAAATTTTCTAAAAATTTTATAAATAAAATAAATAATTATCTGTTTGTTTGTGCAGTTTGTTTTTTTATTTATCAAAAATGAAAGAGAATCAAAACTATATCTTGAAAATGTTCAATCCCGGGATATAACAAGAAATAGATAAATAAATAGCCACCCACGGATGTGACCCCTTTCAGTTTATGAGATACAGGGTGATTTCTAAAAAAATGCCTAAAATTATTTCATCAATTATTTCTAAAACAATTGATATTCGAGACACAATTTAAATTTGAAAGTTTTATAATTATTTTCGCTCTACAGCATGGCATACAGACCTGGATTTTAAATTGTGTCTCAAAAATCAATCGTTTTCGAAATAATTGATGAAATATTTTTGGACGTTTCTTAGAAATCACCCTGTATTTCATAAACTGAAAGGAATTTGGCAACACTGTGAAGGAGTCTTAAATGGGAAATTTTGTGCACTGCTTTCAAGCAGCAAAAGATCTTTTGTGATGTGATTTTTTTTTTTTTTTAATTACCTGTGACGTCCTCACCAGATTTGTATGGAATATTTTTTAGGAAAAAAGTTGTGCGCCACTACTTTTTCCTAAAATAAAATTTATTTTTGAAATCCTCATTCAATTTGGAAAAAATTTGATCTCTTCACTTTTTTCCGAAAGATGCACCGTTTTCAAGTAAACAAATAAAAAACCATTTTGATGCATAGCGAAATGCCAAAATTATGATAAAAATGTTGAACATTAAACATCTAAAGTTTCAAATTATTTTTGTGACGTCACTGGTATTTTTTTTTCTTTTTAATATTTTAAATCAAAAAATGTATTTTGCTGCTTGAAAGCAGTGTACAAAATTCAATGAAAAATCTAGAGTGATTTGAAAATTATGATAAAAAAATAGTTTTTTTCTTAGAATTTCAACACCCTGTATCTCGAAAAGGAAGCGTTTCCGAACATATGTTTATAAAGGAAACTAGGGCTTATTTTCGACGTAGAATATGACATAAAAATTTGGTGCATTAATTTCGGAACACTCTGTAAATATATTTTTAAACTCAAGAAATCACACAGATTTAGAACAGCAATTAAAAAGTATGCAATCCAAATCCATCAAATAGGATTACAGCTTACACAATAGAAAGAAACATTATGAAGGCGTCTTAGATTAAAATTTATGAATTGATAGCCTATTTATTGATAAAGCATAATTATTGTAAGCTAACCTGGTTGTATCATTTGAGTTTTGGCGAATGCGCGAGGAAATCAGTAAATTTTCATACCTAATTTCAAGCTTTGTGCTAACATGGTTTCGACAATTAACTTGACTTGACTGACCAAACATGAATATTTACAACAAAAGTTAAATATAACGTGTTCTTTGAATATATTGCATCTGCTTGCAAGATGTTTTTCCAAATAGTCAACTCAATCTCTAATTGTTGCTGCTCAATTTCATATTAATTTTCCTCCATTTTTGCTTCAAAAAAGTCCCATTCGCAAAAAAATAAAAATTTTACCTACCTAAATTTCCATAAGGTGAAGTACTGTTCAAATCTCCCATAGGGGTGGGTAGAGTGGCATTATGCAAAAGTACGCCCCTGGCATCATAGGCAGCAGCGGCGTGTGCGTGCGCATGGGGGTGTCCGTAATTAGGAAGGGCGTGGTGAGCACCGAAGGGGTGTATCTCTCCGGGATTAGGGAGGCTCAATAAATTTGCCAGGTCCTGCCAGCGCTGCTCCATGCTGACAGTGCGAACAAAGGGCATGCGACTCTATGGAAAAAAGCAATCGTTATTTTTCGCATGATCCGTGGGGGAGGCAACAACGTCTGGGACAGAAAGGGCAGAAGTCAAGGGTAGGATTTTTTTTTTTACTTCTGTAGTTTGAACCCCAAGTTTTTTGTGTAGTTTATTTCCACATTCACTCGAGACAGCAAATTGAAGTTTTCTCCAGTGAAAATCTGCAAAAGAATGCAGAGAAAACCGATAACTGTGCAGAATAACAAACATTTTAATTCGTTTTTCTGAGAACTCGTTCGTGGTGACTTTAGTATTTATTAGCATTGGAGTTTATTAGGATATATTTACTAATTTTTAATTCTTATTCGTATGTAGGTATATTGCTTTTTCTAAAACGTAACATGTTTGTATGACGATAACTATTGTTCAAGATAACCCAGATAAAATAAAGAAGTTATTTTCAAATATTTGAAACCCTGTAGACAATACATTGCTAGATTTTGTCATGAGGGGGGGGGCAAATGTGCAGGAAATGTTTCTTGCTGAACCACCGCGAGCGCTGCCGGAGGCAAAGCGCCGCAGTCGTCAATTTTTTGGGTGCCAGGCCCTTTTTTGGGTCTTTCTACTGTATTTTTGGGACTGTTTATTTAAATTTTCAAGGATTATTTATAAAATTTAAAGGTCGTGGGTCCCCCCACCCCTGGCTACGTCAGTGATTGCTACTATTGCTACCTCAATTTTTGGAATTTCCTTTTTCTTGCAATTATTTTAGAATGTATTCGTATCATTTGAAAAATTTTAATTGCGAAGTAAATCTTGTAATAAGGTAACAGAAGTAACTTCTGCATTTTTCCATTCCTATTTTCTAATAGCTATACATTGAAGAAATGAACATTATTTCATTTCTCCATTTCTCGAAATCTCTGCAATTTGGCGCATTATTTTTATTTGTTCGACTATCCAAATTTTCTTGCTTTATTTGGTAATAAAAAATTGATGGTTACCTCAGGTGTGAGAATTGGGGTTCAAAATTCAAAGTATGGTTCTTTCATAATTAATTATAGAAAATTGTGTACTTTTTAATTTTTAACAACCGGAATGTTGTTAGAAAATTATTTATGAATTTAGTTTGATATTCCTATTAAAATTTGGAAACAAAATATTTTATTTTTTAATTTAAAGTACAATATGTATGTATGGTGCCACCTTTATATTCTAGATCTCATATCAAAAATTCCAATAACCCGCAGGTTGTTTTTACAGTCGATTTTATCCCGATTTTGAGCACACTTCAGTTTGACAGGTAAAAAGAATATAAGTGATTGTCCCAGCGGGACCAACGAACCTTCCCACGACGCGCCCCTTCAATTTATGAACCAAGCTATGTAAATATTTTGGTACCGGTAGGTACCACAATAAGACAAACTTATTTTTATACTATTTCAGTTGGATTTTGAAGCTATACATTGCACATAATGGATTAATTCAAAAAAATAAACATTTTTGAAAAATTGTAATTTGTTATTTTTAAATTAAAAATTTATATTTTTGATACCTTCTATTGTTGTAAGGAAAGGCTTGGAAAAGGAATTCCATGAAAAAGAATAAACGTACCGCCTCGCCACTACTCGAATATTTCTTCAAAGTTAACGCTTTAAAATGATTTGAAGATGGATGGTAAAAATTTCAAAGTAAATTTTTATTATGACAAATGAGCTGCGGAGTCTGAGGCAGTGGCTCCTTTTGTTACTTGTGGGTTTCTCTTGTCAAATTATCGTTCTGTTAAGGTTTTAAACTACCATTATCGGTACATTCATCTTTTATCGGGAGTCGCATTGTTGGGTACCTGTCCCAACTGTCACTGCAGGTGTAAAATGGTAAAATTTTCACAAAAGACCCTCTAACCACATATGGTTAATTTGTAAAAACAACAAGGGAGAGTCAACAGGATTTGCTTCTAAATCCCTTTTACTTTAATTTAGAATAATTGGATAATTTTCTGATTAATGACTAGACAGGTGAAAATAAATATTTATGTACCTTCAAAAAGTGACCATCATATGAAAAATAAATATCACACACAATAAGAACTTAAACAAAAATTGTATGTACATCTTTAGTCAAAACGACAAAAACTAAATATAATTACATTTTATTAAAAATTAGTAGGTACCTATCTATAATCTCCACTGAAGGTAAAAGGCCAAGGTAAAACAATAATGAAAATTTAGAAAATAGATAAGTAATATCTTGTTTATCATACATACATAATCATTTTTCTATCATTTTACGAGAGACTATTACATATTAACAACAACAAACAATACTTATACCTAGAAAATAATATTACAAAAATGTGAAGTATAAAGAAAATTCAACTTTTGTGGAATATTTGGTATATGTACAGGGTCTTTCCCCATATATTGACCCCTCCACTACAGGGGTTATGTGAAGACATATCAAAAATTGTAAACACAAAAGTTTTGGGGTTTTCCCTGAAATTTTTGAATCCGATGTCAAAAACTTCTTTGTTCCTCTAGAAATGTCAAATTTTGACAGATGGTTAGTTTTTTCTCTTGGAACACCCCATATTATGACTTCATAGTTAAAAAGAGTCAAATTATACGATTCCAAATATATAGGTATGGTTTAACCACTTTTAATTAAGCGGTTTTGGAAATATCGGGATCTAAACTTTAAGAAAAATACATTGAAACACCTTGGTAGGCGGTCCATTGTTATTGTTTGACATGACACAGGAGGTCTTTCAATGTAATTTTCTTGAAGTTTAGAGCCCGATATTTCCGAAACGGCTCAATTAAAAGTAGTTAAACCATATATATTTAAAATCAGAACACTTGACTCTTTTCAACTATGAAGTAATATATAGGGTGTTCTATGAGAAAAACTAACCATCTGTCAAAATTTGACATTTCTAGAGGAACAAAAAAGTTTTTGACATCGGATTCAAAAATTTCAGGTAAAACCTCAAAACTTTAATATTTACAATTTTTTGATATCTCTTTTAATAACCCCTGTAGGAGAGGGGTCAATATATGGGGAAAGACCCTGTATGTACAGGGTGGCAGAATTACGCAATTTAAGGCTTAATAGAATACCACTTTGACATTGCAACTCTATTCACTTCCTCTGATATCCGGATAAAACCGAAATTATTACCAATTATTGACACTTTATCATTGGGCACATTTTTCCTTGTCAAAATGGCGTTATGAAATTTGATTTGCACCGTTTCGTCTTTGGGTCCTTATATAAATCTCTGTTTTTTTTTTCTGTTCGAGGTACTTTTCATAAGAATAATTTATCAGAATTGAAGTGACGATGGTGGCCGGTGGGCCAAAGACGAAACATTGGTTTTCAAATGTTTTGGACACTTATCTCGTCAAATAAATTAGATATCTGCAAAAGTGCGGATATATCTATTCAAAGACAAAAATATAGAAAACTTATTGAGATAACAAAAAAAAAAAAACATTAAAACAAATTAATTCTAGCTATTATTTTACTATCGTTTTCACTATTCTAAATATAGCCAAAATTGTTAATATATTTGTTAAAAATTGCTGCGTAATTGTTCATTCACAGTTAAAAAATACGAGCGAGTATGAGATGAACTTGCAAAAAAGCGATTCATTGACTAGAATGCAAATGTGCAAGCTAAAAATCTCATGTTGTTTAATCGACTTTTGAATTTTTCTTCCACGTAATATAATTCTTAAATTTGAAGGTTTTGAACAAATATGAACCACCTTTTGAGTTTTTCGCTTCGCCTATTGTCATTTGATGTTATAGAAGCCCAAATTCTAAATAACATTTGCGGTCGAAGCTATCAGAATTTTTTTTTGCCAAAAACTTGAGCCAAATCGGATGAGTTGAGAACACTGACGTTGAGAAGCAATTTAATAATTATCGATAATATTTTAATACGTTAGGTTTCATTCAAAGGTTATTATCATAAAACCTAAAGTTCAATTTGGAAACATATAAGAGAAAAAGTTCCTAGAATAGTTTACTATAAACTTAGGTTGACCAAATATTAACAATATAGGCAACACTGTTTTATGAACCATTTAAACTAATTTTAATTAACGATTAACGATCAACATCTTAAAAATGAAATTAGAAACAAAATAATTTTTTAACCAAAGAAGTCTCTGTTTTATTGTATCCTTTCTGGTTGACTGTTTCTTTTATTCCATGGTCATTGGTTTTTTTGATGGTTCAATGACAATCCCTTTTTATTAGGCAATAGTAGGTATGACAGTAAAGGAATGGAACCGAAATTAAATATAAAGGAAAACGATCGCGGTCCCGACGCATCGGAAACCGTGCTAGAGTCGTTCGCAATCGAAAAACACTTTCAATGTTTCCGAATGTAGAAAAAGCTATCAAGCAACTGGCACATTGAAGCAGCTGATTAGACGGATCCACTACTGAGTTCAAATTGAAAATATGGAACACTGAGATGATTTCCACAGATCTGCGTGACCGCTATTTTGTCACTATATGAAGAAGATGAAATGAGAAATAAGAAAATTATTGACTTCCTACACTTTGCTATTCAGGTACAGAATTGTCAATGGCACAGAAGTGTCCTGCAAAACAATTGACAAGTTTTATTATTAATTTTTATTGCTATACAGATAACGTGTAACTTCTGTGAAGATCGGAATCCAATCAAAACAAGTAATCTTTCAACCGAGGAACAAGAAGTTTGACTCAAAAGACAAATCTTTTGGCTCTTCCCTCAAAATCTCTCTTACATGTTGGTATTGAATCAAGAGAGTAATAGCTTTGAACGAAAAGAATAAAATCTTGCCTGAATTAATTTTAGAAAATCTATAGGAAGAGAGTTAATGCTTTGGATCAAGAAACATCGCTCTTGGACCTATTCAAAAGCGCGAATCTTTTGACTGAAAGTCATATTCATTTGGTTAAAGAGATCCTTTTTTTCAGTGTGCTCTCAACAGTCAGGAAAATTCTTGCATAAATTGAATCAAACTGATTTTTTTTTTGGCCTAAGCAACCCTACCTACTCGAAACACGGTGTGGCATTAGACCAAATGCAAATATTGACGCAAAAATTCAACACCAACTAAAGTGTGAGAAATTGACCTGTCTCGCATGAATAGAACAAGAAATCAGACAAAAGAAGAGCTTTAAAGTGTCTGTTAACATCATTTGGACTTTTATTTTGTTAAATGTTCCATCTGGCAACATCGTACAATGAAAGTGCAAAGGAATATGTCAAGTATAACATAACATAATCTCTAACAACACTGCGGTGAGTTCAGAAGTAATAAAGTAAAGTATTAGTTCGCGCTCTTTGTTGAATTACACATTACACGTTACAAAGGAAGATTAATACTGAACTTGTACCTGAATGTAAATATGACGCAGCACCTATTAAAACTCGCTTCTCATTGGAGGCTCACCTGCGACCTTCTAGTTGCGCGCGCAGTCAAGTTAAAATAAGTTTGCAAACTGTCAGAAACAATCGTTAAGTTAAGTTGCCGATTTATCTTGGAACGACGGCATTGAAAACATGTACCGGCAATCTATCCGACAGTTTGCAAACTGCCAGAGACTCTTGTGAGAACAGACTTATAAGTACCCGAACTAAGCTACCAATTTCAATTTCTTCGTCATACCAACACTGATCTACAAAAAAAATGAAATAGTAGTATCGCCGAAGGAACAATATTATCCGTGAGGAAAATAATTCACAAGCAATGCTCATCCAACATCAGTTTTGGTGGGCTGGTCATGTCGTCTGCATGCCAAACTCACGTCTTCTTGAGGAAATTAGGTACTTTCAACTGGAGAATGGCCAACGCAACAAAGGGAGGACAATGCAAACAAACAATAACAAAGATGTCCTTAGTACAAACCTGAAAATATTCCAGATCGATGTTGATAACTACGGCTCCTTTTAGACACGCATGGCGACGAACATCAAGGCTCAATGTATTTCGGAAGACAAAGGCGAAGGCATACGGAGAATAAATGAAACATGTAATAAGAAAAAACGAGAATGTCTGATAAAAGCTGGTCCACCCGATGTGGCAAAAGCTGTAGGTCCAGAATAGGCTTATTTATCCTTTAAAGAACCCACAGATAATGATTCTGCCAAGAGACTTATAATACTCGTTAAAAATTATGACTGTAACTTGGCATCCAGAGAAACCCTTTTTCGGAAAGCTGAGGAAAAACCAATACACAGTCAAGAGTAAAAAACATTTTTTTTTTCTGTTGCTTTTATAGCAACTTTGAAGAATTATTGCAAATCAGACTGAATGTTTATTGGGATGTATTTTTTTTCTGTCTGTCTACATACTCTATTCGTATTTTTTATTTTTATTTTATAACTTTATTCCCACCCAGCAGGGAACTGTACATTTCACCGTCAGGATTCTGCGCAAAACGAAATTCGTATACAGAGTGCGGTTTCGAAACACGGTTTTCTGGCGGGCTGGAACAGACCTTGTATCTTTTTCATTCTAATACATTTGCGTTTGCGCGCATAGCAGAAGTCGACACCTTTGCTATGGAAGTCGGGGTGCTTGTGTAGTTACAAGAATTAACATGATTATTTTATTTTATATATTTTCCAAATACAGTTAAGTTTGGGACGTGTTTCTTCTCATGCTTTCATAAAGGTCAAATTTATATTAACAAAAAAAAAACTAGTAAATCACTTTATAATCATCAAAAACTCTCAGTTTTTTTATACAAAAACATTGACAACAAACGATGACTTTTTTTTTCAATAATTTCATTGTAATTTAATAAAAAATGAATGCAACTTACTTGAAATGCAGCCCTATGGTGGGGGTGATGGAACTGCGGCGTTTGAATCATGTCGGCAAATATATCAAAATCTTCCCCTAAGTCACTGCTAGTGTTTATCGATGTTGATGATGGGCTAGCCGCCTTTTTGGTGCTGTTTTCGAGACCTTCAAGACCTGCTAGTAGTCCTGAGGTATCGTTCTATAAATTATATTATTGAAAATATTACTGTTTTCATGATTAATTGAAGAAATATTGAGTTACCTCTTGAGAGTTTTCATCATCAAGTTCGACCAAACGTAGAGCTTCATCGAGGAGAAACTCTGGCAGGGGTAGGGCGAGGTCGTCTAAGCCGCATGAAGCATTTGTCCCTCCTAGTTCTTCTTTTATTACATACTCTCCTGCAAATGGTAAATTGTTAAACGATTGTTTAGATATTATGTATATGTTAAAACACAAACATTCAATCGAAAATTACCTAAATTGAATGTAAATATTTAATAAGCGGCCATTAAAATACCAATACGCACTTTATCGAACAGGGTTTAAATATTAACACTACATACATAATATTTAACAGGGAAACAAATATGTAGGTATATTGATTAGCTGGATGATACAGTTTTTTTCAGTCGTTAATTAGGCACACCTCCTGGTGTTTCAGAATAAAAGATGATGAATTCTAGGCTAATGTTTGATGTACACCGTTGATAAAAACAGTCAGGCTTTTAATAAATTGCTTTCATTCGGTCGTGTTTTAAATGTTCTTTTTAAGGCGCTTGAAAATATCAAATTAGCGAAATTTGAGTATAACTATGTTGATACACAAATAATAACTACAGATAAATTATAGTTTACATGTGTTTAGGAGGTAACTCTCGCCTTGTCTTGAAGGTTCGAGAGAAAATTCTACTCGTCTCCACGAGAGACCCTCGATACGAGACGTGAGAGCTCTTCTCTCGTTTTGTCTTGTGAGTTTTTGACGCATAGTAAGTTAATTTCGCCTCCGAGGTCGAGAAAATGCAGAAAATTTATTCTCGCTCCTCAACTAAAATGTAATATTAGCAATAGTACCCAAGATTCTGGCAAATATTGAAAATTTTCAGTGGTGTGGACATTTACGTACTTTTTATCTTAGCAAGGGGTTAGGGACGCCAGTAGAATAATCAAGCTTATTTTAATTACATGAAAATACATATATAGTTTCAATAAAATCGAAAATTTTGTTTTTAGAAGATTCGTCGAGGCGAGAATCTCTCGTCTCGAAGGCACTACTGCCCGAAAAATGGACCAAATTTATGTTCGGAATACGACAATGAATACATTTTCTGAAATTCAAACTAATTTCGACGAATTTCAATTTCTGTGATATACAAGATGCCATTTGTTCTTCTGGAAGTCGTCAAGCAAATTTTGGCCGAAATCATTGTTTCCCAAAACTACCCGCAACTGTGATATTTTGAAAAGCTTCAGGATATTGAACATAAAATAAATCGGATAATGACGATTTTCCACAAGTTATAAACATACGAGAATCCAAGCTATCTAGCTGCTTTCTTTAGAAATTAATTGCCTAAACACATATGCTTTAACTACATATTTTATGTAATTTGGATTTGCTTCTCCATAGAATCGCTCAATCAAAGTTTGTTTTTTTCTTGATTTTTTTTTTTCTAATCTTGCATTGGTTCGCTTTTTCCCCAGAAAGGGGGAGAAGGGGAGGTTAATTATTTGTTGGGTGACTATTACCTATTTATTGATGTTATGAATCTGGTCCTTAGTACTTACACCGATATTCGACAAAGCCTTTTTAATTCAAGATAAAATTCTAGTATTATCAATATCAGCGGAGAATATCAGCAACATTTAATAAATGTATTAGATAATAATCCTAATAATTATCAGTTTATTTATCACTATACCTAGGTATCAGTTAATTTATGAAATGTTATTCTCAAGTATATCATACATTTCTATAGAACTAGTAAAATTAATGATTGAAATTGAAAAAAAACGTCTAGGTCTTCGCACTATACCTAATTATATCAGTTACCTAATAGGTATCAAACTTTCAAGGGGTAGAATCCTCGGTAGAATCAATCAAAAATAAAAGATTCTGAGTCAACAAGAGTCAAGTGATGAGAAAGCGATAGATTTTTTGAGAAGACTAAAAATCTTTAGAGAATGAGAAGTGTAGTTTTGTTTCGAACAGAATAGAACAACAACAAGCCCACAATGCAAATTAGGCGTTAACCTCAGAAAAACAGTTTACGGTACTATTACATTCGTTTGAAGGTAAAAGGTAATATCATACGATTTGTCTTGTAATCCATAAGTATTATCAGCAAGTTTTATAAAGTAAACATATCTTGAACCGATGCTGATTTTTTAAGAGCTTATGATAAGCCCTATAGAAGCTGCCTAAACTCTAATATTCCATTCATCCATCCATCTTGGTAAGAGTTGAAGAAAATTGGCCGAATAGAATGGTCCTCAGTTTCTCTTTGAAATATCGTTTGCAACATCCTGGATAAACGAAACTAAACTAACCAGTACGAATTGTAATTTCACATTTACCAGCTGAATAATAAAGTAAAATTATTAGTGTTTTATGAGTCAATTACAAATTTTTATGAGACATAACACAGGATAGGTACTAATATGTAATATTATTTTTTGAAATTTCGGGAGTAAACTCATGCATTTTAGTACCTGCAAACAAGGTTTCTCATTTTTCAGGGCGACAAATGCAAAGGTTCTTTTCTATTTCTACATCTTCACTCCTTGTGTTAATATTAATTAATAACTTCAATAGGTAGTCTTTAGATAAGCAAGAAGCGAAAAACCGCAGAAAAACAAATAACCTTCTCACTCAAAACGATAGGTATTAAATAGCCTCGCTGTAAAAAAATGTCTATAGTTTGTGCGGTTAGGAAAAATGCGACTAAGGCCTGGTTTATTCACCTTTTGATAAACTATCAGGCAATGCAATCTTAAACGTATAGTTCATATAGATGCCAATCACGAATTTGGTTGTAGAAAAAATCGGCGTTTTTCAAAGCTTTCATATATTTAGATACGAACGTCGCAATCATTCTAGGAATATTTACTTTATTTTTTGATGACACTGATGACTGGACTGTTGGCACTCCTAATATCTACATGTTTTCTTTGGTTATAGCCTTAATTATTTGATTTTGTTGTTTCTTATTGTTTGTTGTAATTCGCAAGAAATAAATAATTTACCTATAGGTACCTTGGGCGTACCTATACCTACATAGAAAACAGCAAAGAGCATATCATAATTACGTCCAAGAAATGAGACTTTGAGAAAAATAAAATCAAACTACCCATGGAAAGTATTTCAATAAACAATAAAGAAAACCCACGGCAAAGCACAACAAATTAGAAGACTTACGAAGACGAAAGAAAAGAATTCAATGAAATGGCGAAAGCCGAAAAGAAAGCAAAACAACCGGAGCAGAGGATGCTTCTGGAATACGCATGCGCTGACAAATAGGTATTGCGAATTCGCAAAATATTGAACTCTGACAGATGTCACTTCTCTTGACAGTTCACCGATCAATAGGAGTGGCTTTTGTAAATCGTGATTCGCATCTATATCATTATAAACTACATTTCTACTTTATACGGATAAAAACGAAATATTTAATCTTATTGGTCGGCCAGTTATCCGCTGACCAATCCAATAGGATTATAGATTCGTAAATTTATCTTGTAGAAAGATACGTATACGATGACATAAATGTCATAAAGTATTGAAGATTCAATCTTTATGCCGAACAATTATTATTAAGCGCTATCATTGTAGTACACGTATGATAGCACCAGGCTGGGTCATAAATTGCTTATGATAAATTTATTTCTATTGTCGAAATATATTTATTATTTTATTATTTATAAAAATATAATAAAAAATACCAAGAAACCAATTGCTTATACGCAACCATAAAGGCAAAGTGCAATTAGCTATTACATATTAATATAAAATCTTTTTTCTTCTTCTGAATAAGCATCAGGATATATTGATTCTTTATTAAGATACATTGCGCTGATAAAGGTATTGACAGGCAGATATAATAACTGGTTAAATTAAAATCTGTTCTTAGCATAGGTAATTATTTTCACAATTAAAATTCGCTGCTTGATTGGTCTCGGTAAGTAAGTAACTTTTTACCGGTTGTTGTGTGTTCGCCTTTTTCTTTGATTGACTTTCTAATAAAAAATAAATCCTTGTTTTACAGGGACTGTCTATAGTCAGATAGTAAAATAGAAAATACCTGAGATAATAATTATTTATTTGACGTATGCCTTTTGGGAGAAATTTCAATAGATAAACTTCGTCTGTATCAACGTTTTTTTTTTGACTACTCTCTATTTGATTTGAAATTTCATTTTCGTTTTTTTTTTTGTATGTATATTATTATGTATTCTAGTAGACACCTATTTGCGCTGATAAAAAAACTGAATGCTTCTTCCTTGTGCGGGCGCTGAATTTTTTAGAGCATATGTGTTGTTATGAAAGTCTTTTGTTTTAATATATGTGGTTTACTTTTGTTAATTTATCTGAGCACAGCCATTCATGATACAAAGTTAAGTCCAGCTTCATTGTCTTTTGCAATCGCTGCAGAATGAACCAAATCTGTATCGTCCGCGAACATAAAGTATCTAACGTCTAAACTGCGTCATTTAAAACTGTGAACTGATTCTTTCTAGATGAGTATAACTAGTTTATTGAGTTTTTCCAACATCAGTTCGATATTGACTGTATCGAATGCCTTTTGGAAATCCATGAACACAGTAATGACATATAACATTTCTCATCCTCTCTGAAGAAATATGTATTCCTAAACAGTTCATATTTTCTCTTAGGAGCAGGCGAGCAGATAGACTAAAACTCGCAAAATAGCAAAGCTTCTATTTGTAATTTTTCAAGCATGCCGAACAAGTCAAGTAAAAAGTTAATGAATATTCTTTATATTGCATCCAAATAATAAAACTATTGAATTTTCCCATTTCACTGGATAAGTTAAGATACTTGCCCTTTTACAGACAGAAGACAGCTCACCAATATTTATCGTTCATATTATAATCTCGCGAAAATTGTACACACTGTAAATATCCAAACATAGATGTGTATATTTAAATGTCCAACTAAATTCTCATTTAAATTGTACACGCATTATTATTATAAAAAAAGTATTTCTTACACCACTCACCAAATTAGTTTAACATAGGGTGTTTTCAATACCAGTAGAAAATGTATCCCTTTAAATTCACTATATGGATAAATACAAGTCACAAACGTAATAACACTGCGATAAAACAAAAGGCACTATAGTGTTCACGCCGAAAATAAAAGAATTGCTCAAAAACTAGC